CCTCGCGGGCACTCAGCGCCTCCCATCTGGGCACCAGGAGGTTCCCCTGGGTGTCACCTGTGTCTGCTGCCCCAGGGGTGGACAGCATAGCCAAGGGCCCAGGGAATGGCATCAGTGTCCTTGTGTGCAGGCCCCGTGGCCAGGCAGAGGGGACGGCGAGGCTGAGCAGGACAGGCCGCAGTGGTGGTCCCTCTCAGGTCAGGAGGGCTGGAGACCAGGGCCGCCACAGGCCGTGGCCACAGAGGGAGCAGCTGAGAGCAGGGGAGGGCCGTCGCCCCTCCACAGTGGCCAGTCACCTCTCGGCCACCTGCAAGGGAGCAGGCCCCATCAAGAAGACCCCGAGGGAACCATCAGGGCTGTGGACCAGGAGGTGAGTCTGAGGACCACATCGTACCGGGGCAGCGGGAAACAATTTGCAGAAAAGGGAGGAATCTAGGGAGACAGAGGCCAGTTGGATAGAGGAGGCTGTGGGGGTTGACTCAGGGTGGGTGGATTGATAAATGTACCCACATACCCACCCCGCCACCTGCCACCCACCCAGCCACCCAGCCACCCACCCAGAAACCCAGCCATCCAGCCACCCAGCCACCCAGCCAGCCACCCAGCCATCCAGCCACCCAGCCACCCAGCCATCCAGCCACCCACCTGGCCACCCACCAAGCTACCCAGCAACCCAGCCATCCACCCACCCACCCAGCCACCTACCCACCCACCCAGCCACTCACCCAGCCACCCAGCCATCCATCCACCCACCCAGCCACTCAGCCACCCAGCCACCCACCTGGCCACCCACCAAGCTACCCAGCAACCCAGCCACCCAGCCACTCAGCCAGCCACCCACCCAGCCAGCCACCCACCCAGTCACCCACCCACCCATCCATCCACCTACCCATTGATACCTACCCACCCATTCATCCATCTAGCCACCTACCCACCCAGCCACCCAGCTACCCACCTATCCTTCCACCCACCTATCCATCCACTTACTCACCCACCCACCCATCTAGCCACCCACCCGTCCATCCACCCAGCCACCCAGCCACCCACCTATCCATCCATCCTTCCTTCCACTGAGAAGCAGGGTGGTGTGATGGTTCAGAGGCACCTCAGATGCTGCCACAGGGTCTGTCCAATGACCATCACCCTTCATGACTGCCGATCACTTTGTTATTGATCCATGTGACCTTAAGCAGCTTTCCCAAGGTGTAAAATGGGGACAGTAATCCTTGAGTGTCTGCAGAGGTCACGTGCAGGTGGTGAGTTGCCAAGGTCGAGTGAATCCCAGACAGACAGAAGGACTTGTGGCTAGTCTCAGCTCAGGGAGCTGGTGCCGGAGGCTTCCGTGTTCCTGTTGGACGTCCCCGTGCCTCTAAGCCTCGGTGTCCACCTTGTTGGAGAGACCAGGCAGGGTTTGATGCTGTCCCCCAGGAAATCTCGGCTCCTGCTGGTGCCTGGCTTGGTGCATGTCCCCACCCTGCCTGGCCTGGTCCCCCACCCTCTCCTCTCCGTGGTTGGGGAAGCCTCCTTCCCCTCTTCCGAGGCGGGAGGAGCTGGGGACCTGCCAGCTGCCCGCACACCCCAGCCCCAGGAGCCAGGAGCTCAGGAATAAATGGAGCCGTGAGTTGGAGTAATCTGCGAATTGCTCAAGTAACACCCCCAGTCAGAGACGTGACATAAGAACATTAGTGGGGCTCCGGCCCCCCGTGGGGTGGTGCTCGGGGGGCTTGGTGGGTGATGTGAGGTGGAAACGGGTGGAGCAGCTGGAGGCGGTGGGCGGCGGCTGCTCCGTCCACCCCAGCCAGGGCTGCTCCTGCCTCCTGGCCGCAGTGTGTCCCCAGGCTGACTCTGTGGTCTGGTGGCCTCCAAGAAGTCCCAGTCACTGACCCCGAGGTGTGGGGGAGCTGGACCCATGTCCAGTGTCACACTGCGCCACTGCACCCCATGGGCCCCGGGCGGGTTCCCTGGCCTCTGGCCACTGTCCTCGGGCCTGGCCGGGTGCTGAGCAGCCGGCTGCACCCCCAGCAGGAGAGCTCCATGGCACGGGAACAGGTGTTTCTGTGTCACCCACTGTCCCCAGCAGGTCCCAGCTGGTGAATGAAGCCACCAGCAGCACCACCGTGAAGCTCCACAAGGTGGCCTCTGGAGGGGAGGGACGGGCTGCGTGGGCTCAGGCCCCGCGTGGGGCAGCCGGCCTGCTGGAGGCCGGAGACCTCCTCCCCTCAGAACCTGCCTGGTTATTCTACTACGTCCACTCTGCAGCTGAGGACAGTGGCCCTGACAAGCAGGAGAGAGGATGGCCCGTCCCCCTTCCCGCTGGGAAGCACCCTGGGCCAGTTCTGTCCCCTCCTATCTCCGGGGACTGTGGCAGGGGCCAGAAACCCACTGGAGGGGGGCAGCACCTTGAAGTGAGTTCAACAGACTCGGTGTGGGTGGTAGGGACAGGTGGGGACTGGGGCCAACTGGACGTTTGCCTCCGTCTAAGGCTGGGGGTGGCGGAGGCGGCACTCCCCGAATGGCCAGCATCGCCTGACGTTGAATTTTATTTATTTGATTTTAGACAAACAGAAGGAGGTTTTATTGGGAATCTCTCAAAGTTTTAATGCTGGCGACAAATTCAGTTACCAAGCGGACATGGTGGCCAACAGAATGTGTCCAGGCAGGTGTGGCCCGGGGCTTCTGGCCCCGTCACGGTCGGGCCGTGCTGACCGTGAAGGTGTGTGCGATTCCGCTCGGTGTCTTCTCCATCACCAGAGGTGCCCYGTGGGCGGGCGTCACTGCTCCCAGTTACAGAGGAACAGAAGCCCGGGGCCAAGGTGGCCGAGCGGCAGTGGTGGGGCTGGGTCTGGGACCCAGGAGCCCGTGGCCCGTCCCCTCCTCACGGCCTCCCAGGGATGACGAGCATGGGTCTGCTGAGAAGTCTGGGGTGACGGTCAGAGAGGGTCCGGTGGCCTCTGCCTGTTTTGCAGCCGCTTGCCTCTTGTCCCCTGCCCACCAACTGACCCACCCCGGGGCCAGGCTGGGCATCAGGATGTCCTCCAGCAGCTGAGTCCCCTGGCTCTAGGCCACGTGGCTGGACAGATTTCCGGGTCCCAACTGGGCGGGTGTGAAGTTCGTAACTGGCTTCTGGACGCTTCCCTTCTGTGGCCGTGGCCCCGGGGGGCAGGAAGCCTCAGCTGCCCTTCCTGGGCTTCTTCCTAGGACACTGAYGCTGACCACGTCTCACTGCACGTCTTTGAGTCAGGCACTGGACCGGGGCTCAGTCTCCAGGGGGACTGACCGTCCCCAGGAATCAGCAGAGGCTCCTGGGATCTGTTCTTGAGGGACGGTCACATGGCAGAGAGCTGTGTGACCGTGTGTGACCGTGTGTTCCCGGTCAAGGGCAGCAGAGCCTCTAGGCCCCTGGACTGCTGGTTCCCCCAGGAGGGGGTGGGTGAAGGGAGCCTCAGGGAGACACGGGGTCCTGGGGGCCAGGGGAGGTCCTTAGCCTGGGGGGTCACCAGCACACCCACCGTATGGCAGGGGACGTCCGTGTTCAGAGAGGTTAAGTGACTTCCCAGTTGAGAGGGAGGCGGGACTGAACTCAGATCAGCGGGTTTTGTGGAGGTCACAGCCGCCCAGGAACGCAGAGGACACCCTGTGAAGTGTGGCTCTGCAGCGGCTCAGGTGGCCTTCCTGAGGGGCCCGAGACCCCCCCCCCCAGCATTCTGTGGGCCCTGCTCCTCCAGGAGGGAGCCAGCCCTTGGGCCTCAGGATGGGCTGAGCGGGAGGAAGCGCTCAGGGCTCAGCAGCACCTGAGGGCAGCTGCCGCTCCTCCCTGTGCCTCCACCACCCCTCCAGCCTCCCAGCCTCCACCACCCCTCCAGCCTCCCAGCCTCCACCACCCCTCCAGCCTCCACCACCGCTCCAGCCTCCGACCTCCGCTTCCTATCCACACCGCAGCGAAGAGCCAGAGCCTGGCCAGTGCCTGGCATGTGGTGGGGTTCATGTGTACACTCTGGGAACCTTCTGGGGCAGGTCTGGCCTCTCGTTGATACTGAAGCTTTGGAGACAGGAGTGWTGGGGACAGAAGGGCCTTGCTCACGGGGGCAGATGTGGCAGTGAAGCGTGGTGTCCCTACCAGAACCAGATTCRTCCAGGTGTTCTGTCCAACCGCAGGTCACCTCTGGGTGAGAGGGTCTGGGATCCCGCCCTCCCTGTCCTCACGCCCTTGCCTGCCCCCCCCCCCCCCGGGGGCTGCAGGGAGGAGCTGGGCCTCCGCGTCACCATCCGCTTCACTTTGACCCAAGCCCAGGTCCACTGCTGCTCCCTCCACCTCGGTGGGAACCCAGCCGCRAGGCCGGGGCGGTGAGGGCCCAGGTGGGGCAGGTGGCTCCGGGTGCCTCCCGAGGCTACCGGCCTGGGGGAGCTGGGCTGTCAGGGCCAGCCTGGTGGGGGCTGTCCACGGCCCAGGCACCCCGAGGCTGCGCTCCCCTGCTTGGGGGCCTCAGAGGAGGACGGGGAAGCACCCCAGAGAGCCGCCCAGGGCTCTGCCCAGGGCAGAGCGGCTCGCTGCTAGTTGAAGGTGTGGTCTTCAGGGACGTTTCGCCTTGGTCTGGAGTCAAAGGCCTCGCTGGGGTCAGGCGGGCCTGTATCTGTCCCTGGGCGTGTCCGGAGGTTGAACTGGGTTGGGTCTTGCTGGGACGTGGARGCCGGGAGTCTGGGCGGGGGAAGCTGGTGACAGCTGGGGCTAGAGCACAGGGTACCGTCACCTTCCAGTGGGAGCCAAGACCCGGAGGGAGAGCAGTCCCCAGGACGAGGCCGGGCATCCTCCGCTCAGAGGCGGGGGGAGCTGCTCACCGGGTSTCGAGCTGACGGCTAGCTGAGGCCTGGCAGACAGGGCCCTGGGGACAGTGCYGGGGCGACTGCCCTTCTTTTGGGGACCCATGGTCGGGGACCCGTGGTGGGGGCTCTGGCCACTCCCCAGCCTCCCTGCCTCCAGCGTATGGCTGTGTCCCCCGCAGGCAGCCTGCCCTACGAGTACAAGGTGGTGGTGGCCGGCAACCACGAGCTGACCTTCGACCAGGAGTTCATGGCCGACCTCATCAAACAGGACTTCTACTACTTCCCGTCCGTGTCCAAGCTGAAGCCCGAGAACTACGAGAACGTGCAGTCGCTGCTGACCAACTGCATCTACCTGCAGGATGCCGAGGTCACCGTGCGGGGCTTCCGCATCTACGGCTCCCCGTGGTGAGTGYGCCCGGCCACCCCGGCCTCAGGGTGCTGGGAGTCCAGAGCTGAGGCTGAGAGCCAGGACTTGGGGGTGGGAGCCGCAGGGAGCTCTGAATCTCTTCCCTTCGTCCTGTGTGACCCTAGGCAGGTTCCTGCCACCCTTGGGCCTCGTTTTCCCCACATGTAACCTGGAAGGGCGACATCAGCTCTACCCTGTGTGCTATATATTGTCTCACAGGACAGCATGTTGCTATCATCTCCACTTCATAAACAGGGAAACTGAGGCACAGAGAGGGTAGGGGCCTTGCCCGAGGTCACACAGCTAGGAAGAGGCAGACTGGATAGCCCAAACAGTCTGTCTCCAGAGGCCTGCTTTCAATTGCCCGAGGTCACACAGCTAGGAAGAGGCAGACTGGATAGCCCAAACAGTCTGTCTCCAGAGGCCTGCTTTCAACTGCGGGCGCACAGCCCTGGAGTCTTTCTCCCCGGGTCTCCTGCACAAAGGCGCAGACAGGAGGAGCGCAGTCGGAGTCTTCCTGGTGGCCAGAAGCCTGGTGTACTGCGCAGGGAGGGCAGCTGTTTACAAAACCGGCCCATGTGGGCTCTGACTCTGCCTGGGGACAGTGATCGGGGCTCTGCTCTGAGCTCACCTGGCCAGGTGGTGGTCAAGGTGAGAGACGGTCCTGACCGACCTGTGTGATGGTCGGTGTGTTCACCGAAACCCTGGTGATGGGATGGCGATGGTTGTCATGATGACGATGGAGATGGTGAGGTGGGAACCATAGTCATGGTCCAGGTGCAGACGGTTACGTGGTGATGGTGATGATGGTGGTGATGGTTACAATGGTGGTGACAGCAGTGATGGTGGTGATGGTGACTATGGTGGTGATGGTGACTATGGTGGTGATGGTGATGGTGGTGATGGTGACGATGGTGGTGATGGTGTTGGAGGTGGCATTGATGATGGTGGTGATGGTTACAATGGTGGTGACAGCAGTGATGGTGGTGATGGTGACTATGGTGGTGATGGTGACGATGGTGATGATGGTGATGGAGATGAT